GCTACTCAGGTCCATCAATCATAGAGGAGCGAGGCTCGACTTTTTCAAAAAATATCTAAAAATATAAATATTTAATTAAATAATATTTGAAAATGTAACAAAATATTTTAATTTTTAAAATTTATTTATTTTACGAGCTTTTAAATTTGTAGTTATTTTTTATATAAAATGGAATAATTGTGAATAAATTTTGAAAAAGTAATATAGTGACAATTTTTTTTTAATATTTAGCAAGTTCTCAACATAAAATTTCTTTTAAAAAAATCTGCATTTATAAATTTAATATTTAATTTAGAAAAAGAAAACATTTATCTAAAGTTATTGAAGTGATTTAAATGATAAATTTTAAATATTATAAACTTTAATTTTTAATATAACTGCAATATATAATTTAGATAAAAGATAACAACATAATATTTTTTTTAAAAAAAATATACTATCTTTTTTATTTTAACCTCATTTAATATATTAATTATATTTTGGTAAAATTTAATAATTATGTATAAATTTTATTTTTAGGTAATTTAAAATTATTCCAATTTTTAATAAGCTATTTATCAAAATTCTTAATCATCCAAAATTTTTTTATATATTTGTAAATTTATTTTAAATTTACAATAATGTAAATTTATAAAGTCCAAATTTAAAATTCTAATCGAATTAGTTCCTCTAAACATTTTCCTAAATATAGGAAACCAAAGTTCATTAGTAGCTAAAGAAAACAAATCCAAATTATTAGTTTGATTAAATCACCATAATGACATATTAAAGTTGATTATTAAGGTTAAACAAACTACAATTATAGACGGAGGACACGCCATCTTACTAATTGCAATCGCGTAGTTGCATTATCCTATGTTGTTTGGTTGAATTTAACTAATTTATATTAAAATAATTGCATGTTTAACCCATCATAATACTAGATTAATGACTACAATTATAGACGGAGGACACGCCATCTTACTAAGTTCAATCGAGTAGTTGCATTATCCTATGTTGCTTGGTTGAATTTAACTAATTTATATTAAAATAATATCATGTTTAACCCATCATAATACTAGATTAATGACTAATTAGGATAATCATTCTTGATATTGTTCAATCAATGTTAAATGAAATGTGGGTGGGGGAAAATATTGTCTCTAAGGATAAATCTTATGATAATTAGTATAATTAAATAAATTTAATTAATTTAATATCATCATTAATGCTTTATAAAATTGGATTAGTGGCTAATTAGGATAACTATTGCTGATTTTATCCCATCGCATGAGAGAGAGAGAGAGGGGGGGACCGAACCTTAGTATCAACCAACTAATGCATATGTGAAGGAATGTATTATATGATAGCGAAGGTCTTCTATATAAGGTTGGTTTGCTTAATCTGACTTTCACTTCAAGGTTTGCTAGTAATAGCGCTTCTAGAGGTCAATGAGATAGGAAAAAGTGCTAGGTTAATGCTACGATATAATGGTGAGATAGAGTTGTAGAAGATTTCACACCCGCCTAATTCGGTGAAAAGAATAAAGTGATATATGTGCAAGTGGAGCGAAATCTAGATAAATTAAAATAATGAATTCTTTGACATTTAAACTTTGATGATAATGAGTATGATGTTCATCTTATTTGTCACTTTCCAATAATTGGCGGATTTATGGCTACACATGTGACGGATGACGATTCTCGTGATACAATATTATCACAAGCATATGCCCTCTCTAGTAATATACATTAAAGCATAACAAATTAAGGGAAATATGCCAACAAATGTGAGTGTGTTGGTAACTTTGCTGAATCATAGTAATGATGAGTCAAGAGTCAATGAAATTTGATTGTGGGATTCAAATGTGAGTATATATTTTATATAATAATATAAATTTATATTTTAGATTACATGTGTATTAGATTAATTCAGTACTATCATTATTTGCATGTAGACCAACTAGAGCATTGCCTAACCAATCTGGGACCAGCACCCCAAAATATAGTATGCTCACATATATAACATTTAATGAGGTTGAATTTTATAGAAGTTAATCATAATTATTGTAAGATGATAGCTTAATCAGTGTAGCTTAATCTATTATTATCCATTATTTAATAAGGAAAATTCGATATTCTCCCATCACTTATTGCAAAATGGGGCCCCGTTGATGTATCGCCCATTATAGTGTTATTATGTTATTCTTTAATGGCTGAAGTGCCGGGTCATCCAAAACATGCCTCTGAAGAGGAATCCAATGCTCATTACTATGATTACTCATAATTATTATAAGATGATATGATAATTAATCTAACATAAGTTAATATTATTACTATTAAAAACATTAATTTCGGTCTTCTCCCATTATATGAGTCATGATACATACATAGGGCCCCACTATTATAACCACACATTATGGTGCACATGGTGAGGAATCCAATGTTACATCGTTCACTAGTGGCTGAAGTGGTCGGAAAACCAAATAACTAATAGATGCACATGATAAGGAATCCAATGTCCATTATTAAGATTGACCATGAATAATATATGGTAATATCCTGATTAATCTAGCATAATTCAAATTTTTTTTTTACAATAAAGAGAGATAATTTTGAACATTTCCAATTACTTGGTACAAATATCCAATGCTTGTGCTATAAGTCTATATAAGGTTGGTTACTAACATGTTATAGATTTGCCCATTCCGCTTTCAAGCTTTGTCAATAATTGTGCTTGTGATTTGTGAAGAGCAAAAGAGGCGGGGAGCCAAGGGTTACCAAAGACTTAACACATACTTTTGTTGATAGCCACTAATTAGTCTTCAAAAGCATACCAGAAGGACATATTTGGGTATGAAGACATTGAATTTCTCCTCTTGAACTATTTAAAAAGACACGAGAAATCATTGAATATAATGATAGGCTTATTTTTCTAGTAAGATACTTTTTTAAATATCTTTATAAAGTAATAATGTGTACCTTCAACAAAAGCCATATTATTAGATGAACTAAATCAAATAAAATGTTGAAGTGGATCTTCATAAAATTTTATTATTCAAATTTAAAACTAAATTCTAAATATAAATAAACATTTCATGTTCATAAAATATTTTTATAATTGATTTCTAATTTTTTAAAGTTACTAAAAATAATTTAAATTTATACTAATTATTAACTTTTAACAAAAAAATTAAATAATTATAAGAATTTAGAATCATTTAAATATATATATACCACATTACTAATTTTTTTTATATAAATTATTTCTCATAGCTATATTCAAAATTATAAATATTATACTATAATTTATTACTTAAATAACCTACAATAAATTTAACTAATTATTACATTTTTTAATTATATTTTAAATTAAAAATATGAATAAATTTTTAATTTCTACCCTGGCAAAATTTTGTTAAAATTTATTCATATTTGTTATTTTATTTATAAAAAAATAACTATAAAATTAAAATATTTTTAAGCATAAAAAATATTAAAAAAATTTACATATTTCAAATATCATTTCATAAACCTTACATATTTTTTAATAATTATTAAACTTATTTTTTAAGGAAATATTTAATGTTATTACATTTTATCAAAATTAAATTAATATTTTAAAATTTTGTCCACTTACATAACACAACCTTATCGCTCAATAATGGGAACTACCAGAATATCACAAATATAACATCATAATATTACTAGTATACTACTAGAATACCACCAAAATATTACAATAATACTAACAAAATACTACAATAATACCACAATAATATAACTAAAATATCACTAGAATATCACCAGAATACCATAATAATATCACCATAACACCACAAAAAAATATCATCATAATATAACCAAAATAACACAAGTACACAATAATAATACCACCAAAATATCACTAGTCTACTACTCACAAGAATACTAATAGAATACCACCAAAATATTACGATAATACAATTTATTTTTCTTTCAATACAACAACAGTCTTTAAGTCCGGTCGCATAAAATTTTTTTTCGCATTTTCTTAATTCATGAAACTGGGTCCCACTACTTTATAAATGACTCCATATCAATGGAGTCCGAACACAAAACTCCCTTCGGACTCCGAATAATATTTTCTCCAAGTAAAAAAAAAAAAAGGAGTTTGGGGGATAGAGGCAGGGTTTCGCATTTTCTTAATTCATGAAATTGGGTCCCACTACTTTATAAATGACTTCATATCAATGGAGTCCGAACACAAAGCTCCCTTCGGACTCCGAACAATATTTTCTCCAAGTAAAAAAAAAAAAGGAGTTTGGGGGATAGAGGCAGGGAATTTCGAAGGCGTTGCATTTCTTTGATTTTATTTTTTTATTTTTTTATTTGCATCTTCCTCCAATCCCGACCATATATACTGCTTGTTCAAGACTTTCCTGACGTGTTGTGTGTCTGAGAGTCCCCGCCGGATTGGATTAAATATTACATGTAATATCACCTGAACTTCGATTTTCAGGTATGTTATTTTATCTATAAATGTAACATTATCTTCCATCTTCTAACACTTCATTTAGACAAATTTGAGAAAATGGGAGTAAATCTCTCTCTCAATTGGAAAATATTTACGTATGCAGAATTACATATGTGTATGACTGTGGTGGTTAACTCTCACAAAAGGAGCGCAACATAATTAGCGATCACTTGAATTTTAACAAGATCTACTTTCATACTATTTTTTTATATTTGATGTCTTAATACAATTTCTCATGCTACCATAAATTGACATTTTTCTCAATTAAAGACTAAATTTATTTCTTCACAGCATTTTAGAACTTTTGATAAATGTTCTAAACATAAGTCAAATGAAGTTCCAAATATTTGGAGGGTTATGTAGCTATTATTGAGATTAATACCCCAATAACCTCATCAAATACTTAAAAAATAGAAAAAAAAATAAAAGTGAAATTGAGAAATATATTAATAGATTATTGAGAGGTTAGTGAGATATTATTAACATTAATATCCTAATATCCTATCCATAACTCTCAATAACTCCCAAAGGTTAAGCTGTGAACCTCGCGCATCGCAAATGGCGAAGCCTTATCCTTCACAGGTCCACTCCCCTTTCTTCAATCCCTGGAGTTCACTCCACACTTCCGTTAGTTTTGCGTTGTAAAGTATTCGGATTCCCACTGCGTTTAAAGCTCAAATGGAAGGCTATCTCAATACCTTCTTCCCCGAGAAATCCTTTCATCCTTTCAATTTACCGATAGTGAAATGTGTTTCCGGTGCTTTTGATCCTAACTCTGAGGTCTTATTTAGTAGAAGAACTAGGGTTTTTACTTGCAAAATGCAGATCAATTCTATGCCGTTGAGGGGGATTGAGGAACCAAAGCATCCTACTCCCATTTGGGAATTAGAGTTCTTGGGAAAGGTTCCTTCATCAAGTTCTCATCAAATCAAGAATAAGCAAGCTGAAAAATCCAGGTTGCTTAAGGACACTGACAGCATGGATTGGTGTGTTAGGGCTAGGAGGGCTGCGTTGAGGACAATTGAAGCGAGGGGTTTGACATCATCCATGGAGAAAATGGTAACATCCAGGAGTAAAAAGAAGAAGAAGAAGGTTAAGGGAATCAAGGAGAAAGTGAACAAGAAGGAAATCCTTGAAGATTTAGACGATGCTTTGGAAGGCATGGATTTAGACGAAGAAATAGGGGAGGATAACAGCGGCCTTCTCAGTAGAGTTGCCATGTTTGCTGATGGGATGTTTGAAGAAAGGAGGGAGAAAGCCAAGGAGGCTTTTATCGAGAAATTGTCTCAGTTTTCAGGACCTTCTGATAGGAAGAAAGAGATTTGCCTCAACAAAGACATTGTTGATGCACAAACTGCGGAGGAAGTTCTCAATTTAGCAGCAGAAGCTATATCAGCTGTGGCAAAAGGATTAAATCCTTCTCCTTTAACTCCTATCAATATTGCAACTGCTATTCACCGCATAGCCAGAAACATGGAAAAAGTTTCCATGATGAGAACTCGCAGGCTGGCGTTTGCCCGCCAAAGAGAGATGTCTATGCTTGTAGGCATGGCAATGGTTGCTTTGCCTGAATGTTCGGCTCAGGGGATATCAAACATTGCCTGGGCATTGTCGAAGATTGGCGGTGAGCTACTCTATATTTCAGAGATGGATAGAATTGCTGAGGTGGGAACTATGAAGATTGGGGACTTCAATGCACAAAATTTGGGTAATGTTGCCGGTGCTTTTGCATCAATGCAGCACTCTGCGCCCCAACTCTTCTCAAAAATAGCTGTCAGAGCAGCTGAAATAGTGCAAACTTTCAAGGAACAAGAGCTTGCTCAGTTATTATGGGCATTTGCTTGTTTGAATGAGTGTGCTGATCCTTTGCTGGATTCACTAGATAAGGTTATCAAGGAAGAAGGAAGACTAAGTTCACCAGTTATCATGGATGATAAGACTGTTGAGACTGTTGATAATGCCATGGACAATGTCCCGGAAGAGAATGTAAGGATCTCTGTGTTTCAGTTTAGTAGAGATCAACTTGGGAACATAGCTTGGTCCTATGCTGTTCTAGGCAGGTTGAATAATTTATTCTTCTCTTATGTGTGGAGAGCTTTGGACCAACATGAGGAACAGAGGCTTTCAGGACAATATAGGGAAGATATAATCTTTGCATCACAGGTTTATTTAGTAAATCAGTTTTTGAAGCTCGAGTATGCTGAACTTGGTTTATTGTTGAAAAAGGATGTTGAAGAGAAAATATCACAAACAGGAAAGACTAAATGTTTCAATCAGAAAACAACTTCTTCATTCCAAAAAGAGGTTGCGCGGCTTCTTATCAGCACTGGTCTTGATTGGGTCAAAGAATATTCGCTCGATTGTTACACTTTGGATGCTGTGTTGGTTGATAAGAAGCTTGCTTTGGAGATTGATGGTCCATCACATTTCTCAAGGAATTTAGGTAAGTTTTGATCTTTGATTCTAAGGGACAACATTGCGTTTATTTTAATGAGTTTTTTAGGGAAATTTACGTACTTAGCATGCAATTATTATGTATTCACCTAAAATTTCATATTTAATTACATGTCTTATTGGTGCTTTAAACCTATGCATGAAAATGTGTAATTGACTTTTTAAAAGTGATAATTGTATTATTTTTTATGTGATTTGAGTGCTATGTGTGTAAATATGAAAGTTTAGGTTTGAGATATGTCAATACATAAGAACTGTGCGCTATGTGTGTCAATACATAAGAATCAATACATAAGAACTGTGCGCTATGTGTGTAAATTTGAAAGTTCATGTTTTAGTTATGTAAATACCTAAGGGTTGTGTGCTATGTATATAAATGTCCCCTTTTTTTAAGGGTACTTAATTTGGCAAATTCATAGTTCTTTTCATTGACTCAAATGACATTTATACAGGGATTCCTTTGGGTCACACGATACTCAAAAGGCGATATATATCTTCTGCAGGCTGGAAATTAGTCTCTTTGTCATATTTTGAGGTAACTTAACAACAAAGTGTATGTTTTCTTGTGGTCAAAACTGAATGAAAGTGATTTATAAAAAAAATCATTTTTAAATTTTATGCTTTTGAATTCTTTTTAACTAGTTTTTTTTTCTTTTAATGCGCTTGTTAAAAAAATGACATTGTGTGTTTATGGCACTTGAGGCGATAAGGCACCCCGAAAAAAGAAGGGGGCTGGGGGCACTTAAATTTTGAAGCTTTTTCAAATATATGGAAAGCTAATTAAATTAACAATTAAATCAATAATGGAAGCACACACACAAATTGATTAGGGTGTGAAACAAGATACATAAGATGTGATAAATTAGTACAAATATATGTAGAAGTGCTAACTTCAATTAAATGATATTATGTTGAAATATATTAGAAAACACACACCTGTAATGAATTGATTCAATCCTTAAAATGAGACACCACACAAAAGTGTGTTACGATCCAACTTCAAATTCTGCACGTTTTTTTATAAAAATTAGGGCAAACATAAATTTTTATTGCAATAATCCAAAAAACTCACACAAATACAATTGATATGTACCTACAATTTGAGAGGTAGGTGATCTCTCCCAATTTCTACAATTGCATAGTTAAGAAATCTCTCCCAAACTCTAAACCTAAGACTCACGGCAACAATCTCATGTATAAACCTACCCCTAGACATAACAAGCCTATTTATACCCAACAAAAAAGATAATAAAAGACTAAATTGCCCTTAGGCGTACAAAAGACAAATTTGCCCTTGAGCTAGGCTCCAACGTAACAATATTCCACCCAAAAGACACCTTATCTTCAAGGTGAAAAAAAGTGTGAGTGTTCCTTCTCCTCCCCCACAACTGTCTCTATTTCTTCATTTTTTGCCTCCTTGTTATGGACAATGAGAACTTGTAATTTTGGATCCTTGCAAATGTGTCCTGGGGTAAACCTGTAATCATACCAAAAATTTAACCCCTTTGCTCACTTCTCTCAAATCTCCGTCTCTATAAGGTGCTTGAGCGTTGCTCCCAATCATGGTCCAAATTTCGTGTCTCGTGCAGCCTCCCTCTTGACTTCCATTGTTTGAGCTTTTAGTATCGTCGTGGTTGTAGCAGTTTGGTACAACATTCCATTTGTGTTGCTCCTGCCAGCCTTCTTTATCTGATTCTTGTCCTCTACCATTTGAGCTGTCTGCATGGTCTCCCTCGATCCCCATGATCTCAATAGTCAGAGTGATGTCAGTATGTTGGGCTTTAGGCCCTTTATGAAACATCTCTCCAATCCTGCTTCAGAAATCCCCTCCCCCCCCAGCCGTCCCGACTAGCTCAAATCTCTCCCTGTATTCCATGACAATCCCCTCATGAGTCAATGCATAGAATTGCTCGTGCAGATCTTCTTTTCGAATTGCTCGAAAACGTCCAATAAACAATCCTTGAATTCTTCCCATGAATGGATCGAATATCTAGCCTCCCTCCACTGAAACCAGGCTAGAGCTTTCCTTTCCAAGCACAACCTTGCCACTATGACTTTCTAGTCCCCATCTAGCTCATTCACCGCGAAGTTTCGCTCCGTCCGATGCACCTACCCTCGAAGATCGTCACCTTCAACTTCTTAACTCTTCCATCTTCACTCCAATTTCCTCTTTCTCCGATGTTTCTCTCCTTATATCGAGACTAAATCTTCATCCTTCGATCATAGCAATATCCCCTCCCTGTTTCTCTCCTTTCTTCTTTGTGCTCGTCATACCTCATGCATAATCTCTTCTACATGTTTCAACCCAACTACTTCCATCAGAAATCTCTAATCCACCCCCAATCGAAGTTTTGAGAGGGGGTTAGTGATGATGGATGTTTTTCTCATGTTTCTCATGTTCGATCTTTTTTTATTTCGATCTTGCCATAGATTTTTCAGTCAACCTTTGGTTAGAGTTTACAAATTGAGATTGCATCTCAATAAGTCACTTTAGTATCGCTTGAATTTCCCTCATGCTCTAGAATTGGTCTTCTAATTGGTTCTCCATAGAATAGAACATATCCTCTATGGTAGTGAATCTTTCTTCCAGCCAAGATCTGATTCTCATCTCTTCCTCTAACTTATTCTCTAAATCATCTACTTTCTTGATTGTCATTCTTTCCTGTCACTAGGGTACGCTTGAGTTCGGATCCGCTGACTTCTAGGATCATAGTTAGGGCACGACTCATCCTGTCGCAACTTTCCCCGCTAGTTCTAATCTGATCGAGTCTTTCATGCGGTTCAGTGAGACAGAGACGAATGTAAGCCGTAATCCCTTCTGTTTTCCAGGTAACTCGAATCGCTGTGGTATCGCAAGCTTTCTATCACGACCTAATAATATCTCGTCATCGCCTTCCTCGTAAGTTTTGATTGTGACTGTATCGCAGGGTTCAGTCACGAAGGCAACAAGGAGCCTTCCCAACGAGCTTTGATTGCGATTGTATTGCAACAAGCTCTTATTGATTGTATCACAGGGTTTGGTCACGACAGTGCGGGCCTACAAAGGCTCTGAAACCGTCTTTGTCTTCTTCTGTAAACCACGAGCTAGTCGTTGCCTTCTTCTATAAACCGCCAACCCGTCATTGTGTTCCCAACAAGCAATGATCGTGACTGTATCACTTTGGTTTGGTCACGTCGCCACCTTCCTAGCAAGTTATGATCGCGACAATATCATAGGGTTCAGTCAAGAAGGTACGGGATCGTGCTATGTCGCTTCGGGGGGAGATAGACGTGAGTTTTGCATCTTGGTAGGCTGCGATCTTTTCGTGGCTTTCACTGTACTTCTAGATCACGTTGTTGATCGAAAATATAACTCTCCACGTTTGATTTTCATTCTTTTATTCCTAGAAAAGTATGTTCTGATACCAACTTGTTATGATCCTGAATTAAATTCAACATGTTTGTTCACAAAAATGAGGGCAAAAAGAAATCTTTATTGCAATAGTCCAAACAACTCACACTAATACAAACGATAAACACATACAATTCAAGAGGTAGGCGATCTCTTTCATTTCCTACAATTTGAGGGTAGGAAATCTATCTCAAACCCTAAACCTAAGACTCACAATAACAATCTCATGCATAAACCTAACCCTAGACATAACAAGCCTATTTATACCCATCTATTTATACCCAACAATAACAATAATAAAAAAAGACTAAATTGTCCTTAGGTGTGCAAAAGATAACTTTGCACTTAGGCTAGGTGCCAATGTAAATTTGCTAAGTGTAGTTTGAAAGGTTAAGCAACTGGAACAGTCAATAACTATTAAGCTCAATGGGAATGAAACATTCAATTACACGAGCTATGATATTTAAACCACAAACACCAAAGCCATACAATTGTCTATGCTGCCATGGTGATGTAAATAAATCTATGTTATATGTGAGAGAAATTTTAAATCACAAGTAATATCTTCTCTACAGTAGATGATGAGAGCAATTAATGTAAAATTATGACGCTAACATGCAAGCATATAAGGTAAATATGAAAATATGGAAGAAACAGAAAGATACAACTATAGAGAAAATTCAGTTATAATACAATTTTTATGTGGTATGACGCCCAATTAACCTTCATTCATGTCTGTGATACAAACCAGAGCCAATATCAGTGAAGAAACTGTAATTTATATTTGGGAAAAAGCGTTATTTAATTCATATTAAAGCAAATAAATAAGATATAAGGGGGGTGACCTACAATTCGAGAGGTGGATCGTCTTTCTACAAACTCTAGATGCTGCTAGGAACATCGAGACAAAAAAAGAAAAAAAAAAAAACTGTAGCAAATCAAACCTCAAGCAAACCCTAGTTAATTACCCTTAATAAATATTCTCCAATATTCATTCAAAATTCCCTCCAAAATATCCTTTATATGTCCTCTTGTGCGTGTTCGATGCTACGTGGGCCCCACCCAGAAGCTGGAATCGTCCTCAACATCTCCTTGGGCTTCTGGCCCTTTAGGCCAGTTGGTATAGTTGGGTCTAGCCGATTCGAACCGGTCTTCCTTAGACCGGCTCGGCTGCAGGAGCGGGAGTCTCCTCTGTAGGAGCAGGCTTATCAGTAATCTTCACTTGAATTAGGATTCCACTATTGGAATTGTAATCATATGTCTATTTCCATCCCTTCGTTTAGTTAGCGAAAGAAACAATAATCAAAACCTCATCAACCAAACAATAAATAAAATTTATTTTCCATACAATTTTCTCCTCAACCAAACGAGTAAAATAAACACCAATTTTTATTTAATTTCATCGTTATTTCCATTCCAGTTTCCTCTCTATTGATTCCTTCAAATCAAATGGAGCCTTAGCCACCTATTACGGAAGGTCCAACTTGTTCAGCATGGTGCTTAAATAACATTTATCGGATATATTGCAAGGAAAGCTACAGAAATAAAAATGTTAAAGTTAGATGTGTGAAGAAATTAAGATAAATAAATTAAGAAATAATTATATTAGAGAACATAGGTACAATAATATCTATCGAATAAAATGCTGACAATAAAGTGTAGGAAATATATCTTTTAGACTTGTTGATGAAATTAATGTTAGGGGATAGAAAAAAATAGGGAGACCATAAGATTATATAAATATAAATTGTTTAAAATGTCTTGTTAAGAATATATTTAATATCTCATATAATACTAAACTAAAACTATAGAAAAATAAGGATTCATTACATCAACACCATAATGATGATGACCAAGTTAATTCGACCTCTTGATTCTGTTTAAATAAATTCTTTTGTGAGCACGATGTTTTGATTTAGGGGCATTTGCATACATACCACTGAATTCCTACGCATATGCATATCTAACGCCTAATATTTGATTTTTACATTTATATCAACCAAATCTTTCATATCACATAAGAAATACCACCAAATTTACGTTAAAAAAATGTAATACACACTTACTTACATAGGTAAGGTGGTACCGTATGTAAAAATTGAAGTTTAGGTGTTAGATATCTAAATACATAAAAATTGAGTGGTGCGTATGTAAATCTTCCTTGAATTAAATTTATGGTACAAACAATTCTTATTCTCTTTTATATATCATTGTCTTTGATAATTCTAGGTTGATTTTTCTCTTACAATTGGCTATTCTCTTATGACTTTTCCTTACAGTGGGAGGAACTCAAAGGTGAATTTGAGCAGTTGGAATATCTAAGAAAAATCCTTGCCATAAATGCAGACGGCAATTCAGAGGACCAACCTGAAAGTTTGGTCAAGTCATAGTATACTCCAACGGGCTAACTTCGTCGATGTTCAATCTGAAATTTATATTTTGTGAGATGACATTTAGCCCCTTTTTTTTAATGTTGGAATTACTGTCTTCGATTCAAAAATCGTCTCGCTTATTATGAAAAAGAAAAAATAATTTTGATCCAAATACTTGTGTTAAAATAAGAAATAATAAAAAATCATTTGATATTTAAAATAGATACAATACTTTCAACAATTTTAACAATTTTATGCCTAAATTCTTGATTCCTAATAAGTTTTAAATATATGTTATATTCATATTTTTTAACAAGCAGACTTACAAAGCTAATAAGTCTGAGTTGGGGCTGTCTCAGTGTGGCTCATTAGCTCATCAAGCTAATCTCACAAGCACTTTATCAAGCCATGCAAGAGCTGGCTAGACTCATTTACACCCTTAGATGGACTGTATAATGCTTTTATAATCTAAGGTCTATATAGTTCATAAGGCCAATGCTTTCAAGTCACTATGCTTGAGTTGAATCCCATCAATAGCTCCATGATAGTTTGGTATTTTAACCAAGTCATCAATGTCAAACATCAATTTAATCCAATTGGCATTACTTTCAACAAATTGGTAGATGCATTGAAGGTATTAAGGGTTAGGGCTAGGCTAATCTAACTTTAGAATAGCATTCACTTTCCAATTGTTTGTGGATCACACAAGTGAACCAACATAGGGTGCATTTGGCGCTGTAATTTTCGCGTGGTGCGACATTAAAACACATGTTTTTTTTTTCTGCTTGGAAAACGCGGCGCGGGTGCGTTTATTAAAAAAATCAGACAAAACATGGACCCCGCAACCCACGTTTTGTATTAATTCATCACCCGACTTTTACTCCTACCCTTTCGCTGCCCTCTCTCGCGATTGAGCTTCTCTTTCCCCTCTCTCGAGATCGAGCTTTTCCCTCCCTTCCCCTGCAACCAAGCTTTTGTTTTGTTATTCTAGAGGTAAGATCCCTGCTCGCCTCCTCCTGTCCAAACCTTGGGTTGTGCTTCGTGTCTGCTTGGCTGTGGGCTGGGTGATTGTTCTGTGGGTTATGGTGGCGGTGTTGTGGGTTGTGGTTGTTGTTCTATGGGTTGTGGTGGTTGTGTTGTTGGTTGGGTTGTTGTGTTGCTGTGTCTTGTGGTGTGGTGGCTGTGGGATGTGTGTGGATGTGTGTTTGGATGGTTGTTGTGTAGTGGTTGTGATGTGGGTTATGGCGGTTGTGCTGTGGGTTATGGTGGTTGTGCTGTGAGTTGGATGGTTGAAGTTATTAAAGGTATGTGGTAGCTGAAGTAATGATTGATTTGTTTCGTTACATACAACTTATACTTGAGAAGGGGTTTGGTGATGTGGTATGTTTGTAATTGGGGCAAAGTTTTAGTGTGATAGGCTCAAGGAATGAGAAAAAAAGGTATTTATAAAATAGTTATGACAATTGATTATGGTTGGAGGTGGTTGTGGTGCTTATGGTTGTGTGGAGGTTGTGGTTGTGTTGTGGAGGTGTGGGTTGTGTCAAATGTTAGTGTTTTGGTTTAATGTTGTGTTGTGGGGTTGGCTCATGTGTGGTTTGTGGTCACTTGTCCAAAAACAACATTACTATATAGAGACAGAATTGTCATTTGTCCAGAAATAGTTGTGCTGCAACTATTTTCAAGCAGCAATAAACAAACAACCAACCAGCTTATTCACAGTAGTTTTCTGGGACAGCTGCAGTTGCTGCAAATAGACCCTTAATCTTCATATAAGACACATGATTATTGTGAATAGATGAGCAAATTGAAATTTTATACAAAGGAAATATGAGTCATACTTTTAATACAAGCCTAGTACAAATCCTATGTTATGCTTTTGTTGCATTTGGTTACTTTGCTGTCATCTTTTATTTTCCTAATTATGTCATCTTTTATTTTCCTAATTATGAAAGATGTATTTTTGTAATGCAGTCCCTCATATTACTTGAATGTAAATCATTCTTTTTAACTTATTTCAACAAATAGTTTGGATGTAAATCCCAACCTGTCTTCATTAATCCGAAACTCCATTAATCTATGTTTGAAGCAATAATGAAATGTGTAAACAAAAACTAACTACACAAACTATCCAGAAATCTAAGAAGCAAAAGAACATCATGAACAATGAACAAAGAAAGGGAGATGATTCTCGAACACAGCCAATAACTCATTGGACTGATTTCCTTCATTAACAGCTCCATTAGCGAGCCTTTCCGTCATCTCCACAAGCTGCTCTCTTATTCTTCGAGGCGGCAGCCGACCGTTGGCCGCCACACATTCCCTATACAACGGCAAGCACACAATAGCCGTTAACAATGGCGATGGAAGCTCCCTCGACCAATCATCTGATTCCTCTCTTTTTAGTATTCTCACGAGGTTTACATAATGGTCCTTCCCTTCCTTCATCCCCTCCAAAAAAGCTTATTCCGACCACCGTTCTTGAAAGAAAGTGTTGAAAATTTTAGAGCAAAGAAACACAAGAATCGACACAAATCCAAAAAGAAACATAGAGATTTAACGAGGTTCGACAAAGATGCATACGTCATCGGGAGCAAAGCGGCGGCTTTACTTTCAATTCAGAAAAAGAAGTACAAGATACCCTAGGGTTAATATACATCATATATATATATATATATATATATATATATAGCCCCGGTGTATAATTAGACTTATAAATTTAATTATAAATTTACCCTTGTACCGTACTGTAGGGGCGTTGCCGCTGCACCTCCAACCCACGTAACGAAAACTACTCTCGATTGGACAGATGCTTCCGCTTCACTACAACATCTGTCCCTTATCTGATATATGAGTCATATCTAACAAAAAGTTGGAACCACATTCGCATCGTCTCATCGAGCCATGTTATCTGCTACAGTATAAGTTGCAGAAGCGTCGCCGAGGAAGTTGAGATGGAGGAGCAAGGAGACACCATGGAGTGAGTTGCTGCCGAACTTGTAAGAAAATTTGATAATCTTTTGGCTTTTGGAAGTGAGGAAATGAGGTGGGATTTGATGAGAAGGAAAGTGGTGATTTCAACTTGGTTACTGGAGGCTGCGACAGCTAAGGCTGTAGCAAGAAAGCCATCTTGGCAGCCATGGCTGACAAACCATTGAACCACAGGCAAGCAACCAAGTCTAGCAGCAGCACACAGTGGCTTTAGAAAGACTGTTGCTCGTCTTTCTTCGACTAAACAATCCGTTGTTCTGAGTAGTCCGAATAGGGAGGCATGGAGGAAGGCGACCTCAACGTCGACAGCCAAGTTTTTCTGATGGGCAATCTGATGAATGAAGGAGATTTGGTTGGGAAACAGTGAGTTTGAAGCAAAAGCTTATTTTTTAAAGCGCATTGATTATTATCATTCTCTTTCTCTGTCCGAACTCCTGACGTAGCTCTACGTGCGGACTCCAATAATATGCCGCCACGTGTGCTGCATTGCGAAGGTTATTTGAGGTTATTAAAGTGGAACCGCGGAGGTTATTTCGGGGCTATGGAAGAGAACTCTATATATTACACTTCAATAATCTAGAAATAAACTAGAAATAACCTCCGTGGTTTCACTTCAATAACCTCAAAATAATATGTTATTTCGGGGCTATGGAAGAGAACTCTATATATTTCACTTCAATAATCTAGAAATAAACTAGAAATAATCTCCGTGGTTTCACTTCAATAACCTCAAAATAATATCGTAGAGGTTATTTCGAGGTTATTTCTGGGTTATTGAAGTGAAATATATGTTTAATAATCATGAAATAACTAAAAAATTACCCCGAAATAACCTCCACGGTGTCATTTCGAGGTTAATAAAGTGGAACAACGGGGGTTATTTTGGGTTTATTTCGAGGTTATTGCGGAATCCGCGGTTTCACTTCACTATTTTTTAGGTGGGGCCGATATAGCACACATGACGATATATTATTAGGAGTCCGCATGTAGAGCTACGTCCATAGTCCGGACAAATGGACTTGATCAAGAAAAATGGTTAGAAATTTGCCATGAAACACCCACTGGAAGCCAAAAACACAACTTGCCTGAAGAATAACGCGCACGAGCTGCGCACAGCCGAGCTGAGACGCTCCCAGAAGGCTTCGGTTGACATCATCTGCTCCACCCTCCGCCAACATCATCAGCAAACCTTCCATCAAATAGGCAGAGATTCTAGAAGACCAACAGATAAGGTGAGGTTTGCTGCAGCGAGATCCAGAAAAGCTTTGAATGCTGAGAGCTGGAGCTGGATTTCTCTTACTGCTGCGTTCCCTCTAGCAATTCTCTTGCACCCTCTCAACATGAATCCCAATGCATTTCAATGCCCAGTTTTTGAACTTCTGTAGCCTCCCCCTTGCTTCCGATTTCAATTATGCATCACGATTTGATATTTTGATGCCATCTTCCAAACTAATTATTCAGAAAATTTGATCTTCAGATGCAGCGGTTAACGAATCAATTTTATTTTTCCAGTCGAGCGGAGCTCGGCGGCACCAAATTGGCTCAGAAAAAAATTCTACCGGCCTATTTCAATCTGATATCAATACGAGCCAAAATTTAAATAAATTTCTTATAACCATTAAGGTTCTTTGAGCTAAATTTGTTAAATTCATAGTAATGTTTAGGGCTGTTAATGATCAGATTTCAAGCAGCTCAATATCTGCTTGAAAAAAATTCCATCCAAATTTTTAACTTTTTATTTTTCTCTCATCCAATCTTAAGATAAGGTCATGATGTTATTTAGTTAGAAACTATGTTATTATATGATTGAGTTATATATTTACATATCTAACACCGTAACTTTTATTTTTTAACATTTGTCACTCTACAGTTTCAACTATTTTAACTTTTAAGGGTCTGATTGGAGCAGCTACAGTTTATTGGATAATCTGCTGATAAACTGATTAAAAATAATCTGTTGATAAGTTATGTGCGGTGGCTATTACAAATATTTATTTTTTTAGAAAAGCCAAACCGCTGTCAAAAAACTGCCACCGCACCTAGATGGGTGCGGTGTGAAAACGCTGTTTTCAGTATTTTTAAAACGCATAAGCTGCCAAAACGTAGTTTACCCAAACAGGTCAGGTGTATTTTCAAAACGCCACCACACCAAATAAGTTGCCTCAAACGGTCCCTAAAAGTGGAATACAGTTTTTGTGATATATGTAAAAATTGAAAGTTAGATGCTAGATATGTAAATATGTAGGAATTAAGTGGTATGAATGTAAATTTACCAATTTAGATATTAGAAATATAAAAATACATATGAATTCAGTGGTATGCATATAAACTCCTATACATTTATAAATCAAGATATCAATCTTTATATAAATTATATGTGTGAAAACGGTATCTTACTATTTTTAATATCAATATATCATAAAAATAAAATTAAAAACATTAGAAAAATAAAGTAATCAGCAGCAACATATAAATCTCCGTGCAATTTTGAAAACGGATCAAAAGTACGGCTGAGAATTTAGCTCGAAGATTTTTAATTCGCTCGAAGATCAAATTGAATTTTGGTTAATCAAATTTTTTTCAATTTGATTTCCAGCCATACATGAATTGGCTCAAATTGATGCAAGATCAACTCGTACATATTTTATTTATAAAAAAAATATATATAATACTAAGTAAAATTAAATATAACAAGTCACAAGTCAATTTCAAATTGGAACAAATCCGATTAACACAATTTGGGCCAGTTAGTTTCAATTTTGAGCCCGATCAAGCCATTTTGAAGCTTAAATGAATCTAAGAACTCAATTGGAGCCAGTTCATTTCAATTTCGATCCGACTCAGCTCTCGAAATCAAACCCACCCCTAACTCGACTCAAAATCAGATCCTTAACAGCCCACTAATCAGAAGCAGAAACTGTTATATGTTTTCTCTGAACCATCACAAACACAGTATTTTCCAAGCTCATCCCCAAGCTCTGGTTTACTGCAAAACAAGACACAAGAAACGAAGCCGTCGCAACAGCCCTCATAAAATTTCTTCCACCATGAAAAACAATCTTTCTGATCAGTTCATTGAACTGTTCCAGTCCTTCCCCACTCCTCACAAACCATATAAACTCCACTGCTCTGCGAAGAAAATCATTCAGAGTTTGTGAGTCTGATGTCAGAAGCAGACTCTCAGCAAACTCCCATTTTCGACCTCTCATGGCTTCCTGAAACAGCAAGCTCCTGCTTCTTCCCTCGGCTTCATTGTTTGTTGAAAGATGGCTGAAATCATTCAGATTTATCGTCCGTCTGCTGTTAATGGTGTTCGAGTTCTCCATATTATAGAATTTGAAGAGAGAAGAAAAAATAAAAGTAAAAATCCAATTTTTGCAGCGAGAAAGATGAGATAAAGATTAAAGTTTTGATGCAGTTTTTTTATACCAAATAAATAAATAAATAATAAAGTTTTTAACATTTTTTTGAATCATATTTTTTATTTAAAATATTAAAGAAATATGTAATATGAACATTGGAAACAAGAAAGGATGTGCAACTTGAATTTTAATTTGATTTTATATGCACCAATTTTTCTTATACATTTAAGTGAATTTAATAGCAAATATATACATGTGAAATATATAAGATTTTAAAGTGAGAATATCTTTATGCTTAAATACAAAGGAGTTGAGTAAATATTGCATAAAAAAAAAGTATTTACATACATACTACTTATCAATTTTTATTTAATTACATATCTAACACCCTAATTTCAATTTTTACATATTTATCATCTTATACATGCATTAGAGTTGTATTTCATTAAAAAAAAATATCAAAAGGGATAATTTTTATGTGTAATAAAAGATTAGGTTATTATTAGTATAAAAATTAAAATTTATGGCAAAAAATGATGAGAAAATTAATCACCTTAAAATTTTGCAATTGAGAAATATATTTATGAGACCAGGCTTATGGGCAAGTCGGCCTCATTCAGTCTTTGACTAAATCAAAGCGGGCTCAAGCCAATTAAAACTGATAATTTTTATGTGTAATAAAAGATTTGGTTAATATTAGTATAAAAATTAAACTTTATGGTAAAAAAGGATGAGAAAATTAATCACCTTAAAAGTTTGCAAATGAGAAATATATTTATGAGACCAGACTTATGGTCAAGTCGGTCTCGTTCAGTCTTTGACTAAATCAAAGCGGGCTCAAGCCGAGTCGAGCTCGCCAAATTTTAATTTTTGTGGGCCTCCCGCCCAATGCCCAGGTCTACTTAGGCCGCTAAAAAAGTGCAATGCAATCGGTTTTTTAAAATTCTCTAAAAGAATTTCATCTATATGTTTCTGATAGAAAACAAAATCAGGCTAATAAAAATAGAACCTCTAGTAGATGAATGATTATAATAATATGAATTGAATGATCTAAATGATACCATAATCCTAAAGAGTAATAATAAATTATTATAACTATAACCAAGGAAATATTTCTAAACATTGCAGTTTACCTCACATCAAAAGAACATAATCTGTTTACAAACTTTTTTTCTTGTAAGCTACACAAAATTGAAAAACTGAAGGTTTACATAAAAATAATCATGTGTATCTATATTTCTATGGCAATGATGATATAAACACTAAAAGATCATATACAAAAGACAGCTAATATGTAGGAAATAATACATGCTCATGATTTGTGGTTGCCATTTTGGTTGTTTTCATGCATATTTGAACTTGAATCAACTTCAACAATCTCAACTCGGCTCTCCTGCATGGGAGGATCTGACTGAGTGAGAACCTTCTGAAGCTGAATGCTGTCTTCTTTCGGTCGAGCACTCACACCAGAAGTTGCCCTTCTTCCCTTCATTTTCACCTTTTGTGCCCATTCTACAAGGCCCTCTTGCACATGTTCCTCGAATATCGCTGGTTTGAATGAACTCCCCATCTTAAATCAAAATAACATGTCACATTTAAGCCATTCATTTTTTTCCCCCTTTATTTGTAAAAAGATATTTATTTAATGTATTTTTTACGCTTTTTTATTTTTATTTTTAAAATAAATCAACTCATAATTAAAAACATTCAAAAGAAATTAATGAGTGCTTTTGAGTGTTTTTAAGAATCATTAAACATAAAATTTCAGATATATTTTATTTCAAATCACAATATAAACAAAACAAAAGAATCCTAAACAGTCCCGTGGCTTAGAAACAAAAGTAAGATTGCAGTCACCTGTGTAACGATCGCATAAAGAGGTAGTGTACTGTAGCTGCAAATAATCTGTACAACAACGCTGCACCACAAAAAGAGCAAGAAAGTTTATAGGTTGTTTAGCAGTGTAAAATAACCATATAGGTATGCAAAGGAGAAAAATTCCCGCATTTTTCTGGGAAAATTTACATATATACCACGCAATTCTTATGGGTTTTACATATCAAATGCAACGGTTCTACTACTTCGGGGAAGAGGAAATGAGCAGACAGAAGAGGAAACGAAGAAGTCAAGAAGAGGAAAAGAGCAGTCGGGCAGCAGATCAGAAGGAAGAGGAAGCGAGGGGGGTTGGAAGCCAAACAGACAAATTTATCCTATAAATCAATGCAGGTGCTTTAGGGTGTGTGATCAGAGAGCAGAGAAAGGAAGGAGTAGCACGTTGTCTTACCAAAAGAAGGGAGGCAAGAGCTTTTTGCTCAAGGGAAGAAGACGATCGCAGCGTTTCTTGTTGCATTGAGCCACGATATCAACCGAGAGGGAGCCAAAACCAAAAATTTCATGAGGTGCAATGCCAGAGGAAACAAGGAGCAAAAATAAAATGATAATAGTTTATTTAAAAATAAGAAATTAAATTTTATATCATATTTTAAGATTTTGATTTTAGAAGAATAGACGTCAAGACATAGCAAATTAGTTGGCATCGAGGTGGGTACTCATATTTTTAAATTATAACATTGTTTTGATATCTCTTCTAACTCAGTTTTATGGGTTGTTAATTATGTTTGCTTAATGCAATTGCCTGTTATATTATTAAATTTTATCGGACATTTCAATGCAAATGCTTATAATCTCATAATATAAAATAATCAATCATTACACTTGAGTTATATGGAATTATAAATGATATGATTTGAATCGATTGCTTGTATGTGCATGATTGGCTATGATGGAGCCACCCCTTGATAATACTAATGAGGGAACACTAATGTACACGTGCACATAAATAGAAAATGATGTTGATATTGAAGTACTTTAAGTGGTACAATTTTTAGACGGTGCTCATGTGATGTTTGTATAGATATAAAATGATATTAGCGTGATATTGATATAAACTCCTTGAATAGTATGCTAAATATTTATACTGATTTATAAAGAAGCTTAAGTGACATGCATATTCTTCTTCTTTTTCCTTGTATCATTGTACTTTAAGAGTATGTGTATTCACTGATTTGTTTAGCTTGTTATTATTTTAAACTAACTTTTCAAATAAATTATAAGTGATTAAAAGATGAGTGTGAGAAGAAAATGTTTATAGAAGACACGAACAACCATCAACGATGTAATTTTAACTATACTGCTTTAATTTAATTTAATTAGTGGTTCTGTCATCTGTTAAATTACATATTAATATAAAAAATTCAATTCACACAGTCCGACCATCTGTACCCGTTTTGGTTAATTCCAAACCTCGGGCCAAGTCGTGACATCAAATACCTAAAATTTAATATTTATACCTATAACACTTTGTTGTCATGAACTTATGCATAAAAAGGTATTTCATTTTATAATTGTGATATTTTCTATATAATACTAAGATTTTGAGTGTTATAAATATAAATACATAAGAATTGTGTGTGGTATGTAAGTAAATTTTGAGTGGTATATACATAAGATTTTGAGTGCCTTTTTGTTTACCAAATTGAGATTCTGGGAATGATGTATTTGCTGCTACCCATGATACACGAGTGGTATCCATAAGTTGTCTGCAAATATAAAGTATTTTCCATCAAATTCGATGCAGAAAATATTGACGGGATAAAATAAAATCCCAAACCATTCAACTATATATTAAAAAAAAAAATAGAGATAATTATATGCATGGTACTTGAAACATTGCTATTTACAAAATTAGCACCCAAGTAATTTTTTGAACTGCCAAACCGATGAATTTACACGACACGATCGAACTATTGAGAATTTGATTAAAATGAAAATTATGGATTGGAGTTTTAACGTGAATTTTGATGATTGGGAAATTGTAAAAAGGATGAAATAGGGTGCTTTTTTTGTAAATAGCAATGTTTTGAGTGCTGTGTGTAATCACCTCAATTAAGTTTGTAGACATACAACAATCGCTTACCAATATCAAGAAGAAATACGCGATCTCAAATGCATTTTGGAAGAGGATCAGATGGATCAAGAAGAGGACAATTTGAGGGCGATGGAACCAGAAGTGGTTATCTGAAGGTTTGACAACCAAATCTCCTTCAATGGCTGTGTTTTTTTCCGCAACCTCATGAGCCAACTGAGTGATTATATGCTCCAATTTGGTACCAACAGTGAACAGAAGCTGCGAGCACATAAAGGTTACAGAACATAGCAGCCAACAAAATACAAAGAAATTTAGATATAGATGTCTTTTTTGCAGTAGAAATTACGTAAAATTTGCTGGCACAATGTGAAAATGTAGAAAATTGTAGATCAACCCTGTAATTTACATTATTTCCCCTGGCTTTTACTTCGCCATCATGTAGATGTAGGAATTAAAAGCTACGAGTAGGTTTTGCAGGTATTTGAAGATGAGAATTAGCTTTGTTTAATAACCATGTAAATGAGGAAAAAATGGAAGTTAAAATGGTTTATAAGACTCAACAAGTTCACAAAAAAAAAAAAGAAAAAGACAAATGGGTGAGGCCAAAAGCTCATTAAGCAGCGAAAACATAGCTGAGCTTTAGAGAGCTTGTAGAGGATCCTTTAATTTTAACCCGGTAAACCTGGAAATGCAGACTGATAATCTCTCACTGATGATTCAAAAAGTTGTCATGATCTATCAATCAATGAGTCTAATCTTACCTTGGACGATTTATCTTGGACGATTGAACTGCTGATGCCAAAATTCTCACTCACAAATAGGGAGAGTGCAAAATCAGACTCATTATAGTGGATCCAAAAAATTGACGCCCCAACCCCCCTCAAATGAATGAGTAGTTTTATTTTAGGGGGCATTCACAAAAATATCACACAATTCTTGATATTTACATATCCCACACCTAAACTTCCATATTTACATAGATAGCACTCAAATCTTTAATATCACATTAACAATGGCATCATTACCACTTTTAAAAGTGAAATAAACCTTTTCATGCATAGGTTAAGTGTTATGCATGTAAATATGAAAGTTTAAGTGTGAGATATGTAAATACACCAAGGATTGTGTTACATATTCAAATTTTCCTTTATTCAAGGTTCCCAGATCAAATTTTTAAAAGTAGATAAAATAGTAGATACGACACTACTAAATTAAATTGGTAATGATAAATTTATGAGAGAGAGAGAGAGAGCACGCAAAACTAGATGCATTAAATTCTTTTCATCCTCTAATTTCATATTCCTATTTGTACAACCGTTCAAAATTTGATTCCCCTACTCATCCCCCCATGTGGATTACGACTCAACTATCTGCTATTGTGCTAGCTATAGAATGAATTGTTTGAACCCAATGTGCCATATATTTGGCTGTCATGTTCTTAAACCTCTAAACTACAGTTAGCCATGCTAGTCACATTAGGTCTTTTCCATCCAATGGGATGCGCCTTTTAACATATTGTCATCCTACTCTGCTAATAAAACTCCTTGAATGGTGTGGCCTTTCAGCGTTCTGGCATTGATAGAACCAAGACAATGTAACAATGAAACGTTGATCAGTTGATGATCCATCCCTAACCATTCCACCCACTTATAAATAAAACTTCAACCATCAGTCCATAGCACAATGGTATTCTTAATTGAGAGATTTCTCGAGCATCTAGCTTAGGATGAAATTAATTATAGAGTTTGTTACCACAGAAAACATCAATCCCTTACAATTTTTTTAAAAAAAACTTGGGCGAGAGCAAAAAAAATCTCGAGAAATTCTATAGAGTGCTTTGGAAATTTCAAGCTGAACAGCTGCTCTCTCAAATCTCCAAATAAGAGACTAAGAAAACAGACTGCACTACAAGCTCATTCAAAGTCTGCAAACAGGAAATATCAACTTCATTTATTCAACAGCATGAATAAATTAAAGCTATAAAATATTTATTGTTTATATGAATATATATCTGATCCTACCCAATATAAAGAAAGAATCAAAGTTATTCGGTAATTTTTTATTTAAGCAACAAATCCTTTAAATCAAGGTTCTCCTTGAGGCAATGCTGATCATCATACTATTCTTCATTTCATCGATCCCGCTTTCCAAAGGCTTTGAATTTTGGATTCCCCTCCATAGATCCTTCTTTCTTTGGGTGTGACAATTGGTGCAGCCTTTTGGAGGCTTTGAACTCTTAATATTTTCAGCTTGTGTTGGTTTAGTGCTTGGTGCCCTCTTGGAGTCTTCCATTTTTGTATCATATGTTGTTCGTGGTTTATATCAAAAACTTAATAATAAGATAAGAGAATGGGGAATAGAGAAGAGTAGAGAGTTAAAAAAATCAACTATATGCTCAAGAGGCAACAATATAGCAGGGTGGTGTTGAACCATTGGCTATCCCTAAGATCCTCTAGTTATAGATAGAAATTGGCCTTGAACTCTACAAGAAAAACAATAGAGTAAGTTATACATATAAAAATATGATAAATGTATAGTCTAAGATAGACTTGGACTTGAGCCACTAATTGGTCGTTGGACTTGGAGAAGTCACTAGCTCTTCCAGTAGTAGTGGTCGAGTAGCCCTCCAAACACAGGTGACTGTCTAAGTCGAGTTAGTATAATGAGTCCCTCGGTAGAACTGGGTGATTTCTTTAAGAGCTTAGTGGATATAGTCCCAAAATTGGTTAGCCCCAAACCTAACAGGTAGTTGCCTTGACTCAGCTTCGTGAATCCTTCAGGTACCTGACTAGCTAGTCCTCTGGTGATCTCCTTTCTGGATCAAACTAACAGATCTGTCTTGAGCTCGGCCCGGTGCTTTTGTCCCAAGCTTAGGCTTGTCAAACTCCTATACCGCAAGTGTGTTTCCATGCCTTCGCCTTGAACAAGTCAGCCTCAAGATAAATATTCTAGATCTAAAAAGTAATTCTTTACTATCTGCATATATATTATCCTCACTGATTTATCAGAATCAACCTACCTTTTTTTTCACCATTTTCTCTGAAATATTTCAGAGACCAAGGTCATGTGAGACACATTTTGACCATGTGATATGTCACATAGACAGGCTTACATCTAACCAATATGTAGTAAAACAAAATAAATATTTCAAACATTACAAGCACGTTCCTCAGTTTCCTAAACCTAAAAATAATCTCTAACCTGAAACTCATGTAGATATTTAAATAAAAAAAAAACAATCAAACTTCCTACATCTGCTACTTCTTCAGATGTATATTCAATCAGTTGCTCATTATCTTAGCTTCAATAGTTTGATTTTTCCTTTTTCAAGTCCTCTAAATTATTGGTTATGCCGATATATCTAATTTAGCACTTATGAAATGTTCAATGACTCGAATGTATATGACTCAGAATGTATCAACCAAAATCTTTGATTTTTTTGGTGAGTGATTCTATGGCTCTAATAAACAGAATCGATTTCAGAGGCACAGAAATTCATTTTTCTTCTCATTTTTATAAGGTTTGGGCTATTTGTTTTTATTTGGTTTATTCCAACATGTTTTAACAAAATTACAAATTTTATATGAAAAAAACCTTAGTAATGATAGTTATGGAAAGGGAATCATTTGCAACTTAAAAGTTAAAAGTGCATAAAACAGTAAATAAATTGAAATCAGGTCTTAAACAAGCCTAAACTTCAAAACCATGAATAGATAAAACCTAATTTACCCTATTTTACAATTTACAACACCATTGCATATAACAACATGAAATTTCAATAAAAAACCAAAAGGTTTAAAGTTTAAATATCATAAAAAATATTTACCATATACTTACAATCAAAGGAATGAAGGATATCCAGAAATATGCATGCCACCCTGTACAAACAAATGGCAAATTCAGTGAGAATGCAGGTAGAACAATAAGTTCAGATATGCAGATTTGCTTTGAAATAAAGACAGTAACCCAAAAGACAAGGAGTTGCCATCTCTTCATCAATTTACTTATTAAATTAAGCACGTCAATATATAAATAGTAATAAATAATTTTTTAAAAAAATTAAAAACGTCAATATGTCAAGTTGACAAAAGTTCTAACCCTATTATCATGTAAAATTGTAAGATTCTCAACCGCTCCAGGATCTAGCTCATAAGATATTCTGCGTGCTAAACCATCTATAATTGGCACTAATGTAGATAACACTGTTCATCCACCAGTTTTAAAAGAAAATAACCAGCTCTAGAATCAGTTGTGGAATCACAAGGTGGCTAAGAGATGCACTAGCCACCATTAAATTTTTACCGAACTCCTTAATATTATATAATACGCTAAAAAGTTTACCCCATAAAATTAAATACTCTATAATAATTCAATATTAACTATATTTCTAATTAAACAATAATATTTATAATAGTTTTAAAATTGGTTGAAGTAGATGAACGATTTAAACTTAAATACTTGCACCCATTAATCATTGATTTCATCAACCCTCTCCTTAAGTTCTGATTCTATTTATAATATTAAAGGGTGGGTTTCTTTTAATAGTTTGTTCCTCTGAAAGAAATATATGATAATCAAATCACCTAAAAGTTTTTATATAACGCTTTAATTGGGTGGTGTTGTTTGGATGCTTAATTTAAATTAGAACAAATGCAAAAATAAATTAAGTTAATACATAAAGGGTAAACTCAACATATGATATATGTATGTATGTGTATATATATATATATATATACACATACATATATATATATTTGTATATAGAAAAAGCCCAAGGGCTAATATATTAAAGCGGAAAGTATACAAAAAGGTTGTATGAGAGGGCCTAAAAGAAAGTCCAACTCAAACAATACAACACACACAAGCTCAAATAAAGAAAGATACATAAAGGTAAAACAAAAAAACAAAAAGCCACCAAAGGGCAAGTGCTAGGGAAGTCCAGCCCTCCCTCTGCCCCTAGTCTTCGGAAGTGAGCCGGCTAACAAACTGGTAATGTGAGTACCATTGCCCGGAGTAATCAAAGTATCATCCATTAGATCCTGAGCTCAAGTAGGTCTCCATTCTTCTTCTTCCTCCTGGATGTGTAGACCTGTCATTCATCATCCGATGATTGACTCATCTGATCAGTAGATTCTAAAGTTGACCGGACAGGTGTGAGATGTTGCACATCATGATCCCTATGAGCCTGAGTAATATTAATATCTTGCTCGACATCTTGCTCGAGTTGATGAGGCGGTAGTGAAACAGTAGAAGTATTGCCTATCTTGCTCGAGTTTATGAGGCGGTAGTGAAACAGTAGAAATATTGCCACCTGTAATATCTGTGATAGGTTCTAGGACATGTGGGGTCTGAAGAATGTCCCTCTCACCCATGATGGGAGGTTCTAAAGATAGGGGAGCTACAACATTGTGTGGGGACTGAATGATTGTCATATTGCCTGCGAGAATAGTGACATCTTCATGGATCTTCATGGGTATCCTTTTGTATTTGTACTTGGAGCTGATCAGGACATGATGAATTCATTGCCTCTGGTGGAGCATTGTGTTTTTTTGATCTGAGGAGAGGGTGTAGATGGTGGCATTGAAAATTGGAGTGGTCGAACATACGACATTTTGAACAATACGAATGAAAAGACTCAATCACTACCTTTTGTTAATATTCATGGTGTTGTGTGTCCAACCAAATTTTCTTAGAAGTGGATGAAATAATGTCTTTTTCAACTAGTATTCTGGCTTCAGATGAACAAAAAAGATTGAAGGTAGCAATATCCGTTTTGAGTGGCTTACCATAAGCTGAGGCAATAAAGTACAACACTTTTTGAGTAAAGTAATGAAATTTCAGACCAGGGAGACAAATCCAAATCAGAATGATTGGTGGTTCCGTCTGTGGGTCAAAATCCACTTACCATTTCAAAATCTTCATTGCTTTGTTATCAATCCATATTAACTTTCTCGCAAATAAGCATGTGTAATCCTCTTCATTATTTAGTCGTATAAGAATGTTGCTTTCATCTAACAGTCTAATTTTTCAATCCCCAACAAGGTGCATAAACTCAAATTCCCTACGAATTAGCTCCATTTTGGGATGACTATACAAAAATTTCCCAACCAAATTCAGTCGACAGAAGGAAGCAAGTTAAATACATTCAACTTCAGTAAAAAAGATGACAAACTTCTCATTCTTCCTACTAGGTTTTTTGATGTCCTCTGCTCACTCAAACAAAGGAGTGAAAGAGCATGATTTAGGTGTACCGAAGGCGTGGACAGCCGCAAGGGCAGCAACATATCATCTGGCCGAAGCCATCCCCAATAAAGGGAGGAGCGACGTTAAGAATGGTGAAGACAACAAAGCAGAGAGCAACCTCCGAAACCAGAAGAAGCAAACCGGAAGCCCCTGCAACAGCTCGAGCCCGAGGACTGACCTGCTCAAAACAGCAGTTTCAGATTGCGTAGGAAGCTGGAAGGCGCTGCGACCAGTACCGAGCGTGACAAGTGATCCTGACGCAGCAAACGACACACAAGCAATACCGCACGAGCCACGACAGACGACACACTTCGACAGCGGTGACAGAAGTGAAAACGACAGAAATGGTAAAATCGAAAGAGCAAAGCTTGATCGACGAAGAGCTGCAGTGGAGTAATATATAATTTTTTTATAAATAGATTTTTAATACCTTATATAAATAATAAGCATGAATTCAAACTAAAAAATATTTTTTTAAAAAAAAACTTTAATGAAATAAGTTCAAAACTTGAGTCGCAATCAAACTATTGACTCGGGGTCCGCTTGGGGTGACGGTGCGGTGACAGTGTGACACGGCACAACAGTTGTTTGTTTAGATAAACTGCATTTTGACAGTTTTCTACCGTTGAAATTTGAGTTTTCCCACCGGTCCGGGCTAAGTGTGGTGGCAGCTTTCTAGCTGGGATTCGACTTTTTCAAAAAAAAAAATATAATAGCCGTCTCGTCGTAGCTTTTGAACATCAGATTATTTTTCAACAGTTTTACAGTTGATTTTTAATAAACTGCAGCTGCGCCAAACAGAACATCAAATTAAAATTAAAACTTTTTCCGTCGTAGCTTTTGAACATCATATTATTTTTCAGCAGTTTTACAGTTGATTTTTAATAAGCTGCAGCTGTGCCAAACAGAACATCAAATTAAAATTAAAACTTTTTATTTGAGTTTTGATCTATCACTCAAACTTGACTTAATATCATCGCCATTTACATCTCTACCAATTGGTATAAAAGCATAGACTAAGCTTTGAGAAAGATTTATAATTTTCTATGAAATAATTTGTAGTAAAGAATCATCTAGTAAACCTATTGCACTTCAAATTTTTGCAACGAATGCCACCACTTAAATTTAATTAAATCACATATACTTTCTATCAATACAAGCTTCATATGCACACATCAACAACAACAACACCAAACATTTATCCCACTAAGTGAAATTGGCTATATAAATCCTTTTTCTCAATTGTTTCCTATTGAGCGTCAAGTCCTTTTAGGTTCACCTCTACCCTTCATAACATAGTCAAATCTAAAATATCTACTCTCCTAACTTGGTCATAAGATGATCGACGTTTAATATGTCACAACCCAGGTCCGGAAGGTGGTAAACCCTAACAACACAGGGCATGAAGATATGATTGGAACATGTTTTGTATTTCAAAGAAAAACTTACATTGCAAATAAAAGGATATGTAAATTTTATTAATACTGAAAGTTCAAAACAACTGGACTGAAATAAAAAACTAGCTGAATCAAAACAGAAATGATAGCATAGAACAATTACTCAACAAAAAAAAATACAATAGCTAGAAACAAATACTAAGAGAAATACTCAAAACTGTAAAACTAAAATTGAAAAGCTGGCTGCTATGGAGACGACCCTACATGTGGCTAAATGGAACTTATTATGCAAAAATTAAGAATGAGATTGACAAACTCGACAAATAATAACTATTTATTAAAAGATAAATGACAAGGGGAATGGGGCATGCAATATGAACAAGGAAGAATCACTAGGTGCATATGTAACACTGTAAGACAAACAAAAATGGGGGTAAATATCATATATGCATATTATACGAAAACATGCAATCATTTTCAATCAAGTTTCTTATTATTATGTTTTTTATTTATATTTTTATATTAAATTTTAATAGACACCCTGAAACTGAGAATGTCAAATACTAACCCAAAGAAACTTGGAGATTTTCTGTAGAATCGTCACTCTGTGGGCCCGTTGTCTCGGCTAGCCAAAATCTAACAGGATTATACCGACCTACACACCATCATACATAAGCATGCCAAATTATTTCCACATGTATAACACGTTAAAGTTATAATATTTCATGCAGACTCGTGATATAATGTGTGAATTCACACAAGTGCGGTAAAAGAAAACATCATAGTGCAGGGTTAAATCAAATATCCAGCAATAAATAAAGGCTAACTGTTGACCTCACTTTTGGTTGAGGCATAGTTTCACCTTTTTTTTACAGTCTAGGATCTAGTCATAGGACTTTCCTGTCGACTATTCCTAGAAAACTAGCGAAGGAACTCCCCGTTAGAAATTCCGAGCTTTTCTTCGCTTGACTTGAAGTTCAACATAGTAGTTTTGGCCTCTAGCACCTAGTAGGTGGGGCTACTGTGAAGAAGCTCAAAGAGAATCCCTAAAGAACTGTTGGCCTTAGGATTGGTTGTACGCGTTTACCTGGCATCGTCGCACTCCGCACCGTCTTGTTTAATTGAGCTCGAGCCGAGTTTTTGACGTGATTTGATTCGGGAGCCGAGTTTTTGACGTGATTCGGGTCGCGACGCATTTTTATCCTGATCGCCGACGAGGTTGCCTAAACAACTTCGAT